TTTCTTAAGCTGTATGCCATAATCAGCAATATTAAAATAATAAAAGGCTTGCAATATTTCAGTTGATTTGTAATGAATCCAGAATGTATGACATTTTTGTTTTTTTAATTGCATTACAGAAAATAAAGAACTTTATCACAATATTCTAATTTTCTGAGACAGTCCTGTAATTACAAAAAAGGTTTCTAGATACACATTTAAAAGAAAAGTGCAGTACAGTTAGGCTTTATAATAATAAATGCGTCACATGTCCAAAGTGCACCAATTTGGTTCACAGAAATAAAGTGTAAGCGTGCAAACTGTTCTGAGATTGTACATGTTATCTTGGGTAAGAAATCCAAAGTGTTGACATGTGTTATATTTCAGAACATTTTAAAGACATTATACTTTGGGGGGATAAAATTGTCCATTTTACAATGTGGTGGGCTCATGTCCCCAGCATAAATGACGCCAACATGTGCTATTTATTTCTCCAGCCAGATTTCTCTCTCCTTTTTATTTTCTCCCAAATCAGAATTCGGTCCATTTAGCCGTCAGAGAAATCCAGGGGGTCAACATTAATAAGTTATTATGATTTCACCCCATACATATATGTACATAAGACATTACATGAAGAAAGTCTTTCTGCAAGCATGCTACTTATCACATATGTTTTAGGTGTTTCACTTTGCTTAAACATGTTTGGGTGCCCCTGACAGACTGAGTGTTACCGCTTTACATAAAGAGAATGCATTACAGAGGTGTTAAAGGTTCACTCTGAATAGTTTTTGGCACAGATAAAGGAACGTTTTTTAGAGTTTGGAGTATCCTACACCTATCCAATTCCAGGTTTTGCCATGAAACACCACGGTTAGGCCTTCTGTCACACAGCTGTATTTCCATAGAGGTTTTTTTGTTAATGCAAATAAGCGTGATATATATTATATATAGGTAGCATGTGTAGACAGAACACAGCTTTAAAAGAACACTCTGGCACAGATTCACATTGGTTGACCTCATTCTAATGTAGTTAATGGTTGACTTTGGTTGACCAAAGTTAAAATCAGGTCAGCCATTACCTCAGACCGTCTCTGTTGCACATCTTGTTATTCAACACATACACATTTATCCTTGAGCATTATGCTTTTATACTAATAGTGATGTTGGATTTAACTACATATCACTACAATAAGACACAGACAATCCAACATTAATGTCAACTTAAATTCTTCCACTAGCTTGAATCTCCAATGAATGAGTTCATATCTTGTTGCACTTGCATCATACCAGTCCCTCCTCACTTGTGGACTGGAGGCTAATTTGTGTGTCCCATGTGACGCCTCAGTTTAGTCTAGACAAGTTGGTGGCTTCCATCAGTCCCTGTGGCCCCGCAGGTATAGACGCGCTCGGCAGGGGGTTTGACTGAGGAGAGGAGGCAGAACCTTTCCCCACGGAGAGCTTTCACATCTCCCTCATTTCCAGTTACCATGGAATTTCAGCTTAAGGCTAAACAACACAGAACATTAAGGGGCTAACAATGTGCCATATGGAAACAGCAACAAGTAGCTTAAACACACAATGCAAAAATGATGCAAAAAACATGCGATGGGTTCAATCGCATAGTGAAAGGTGGATTATCTTTTAAAATCTACTTCCTCTTATTTACTGGCAGTACTTTCTTGCTGAAGGTTATTTCCCTCTGTGAAACTTCCTTGTGCTGTATATCTGTCAACATACAATAATTGATAATACCGTTTTTAAGGTTAACAAATTATCTCAAAGAAGTGTTAGTCTTCCCCAAGAAGCTATCAATGTCATTGTCATTTTTCTTTTAAAGGCAGCTATAACACAATAAAATGTATTGTCAGGACTTTTATTCGTTTTTACCTATTTAATATTTTGAATGGACAAGGCACAACTTCTGTAATGTTTTGTTGTAACAAACATTGCAATATGTATCTAAAGTTCACAATTTATACACAAACAAGTATAATATGTCAAGACAAATGTAAATCAGTCATTTTACTTGTGTGTTTACCACTTTTAAACATCTGAGAGTCAATAAGAAGAGTTGTGGTGACACGGGGAGTAGAGCAGGTGATCTCTCAGGATGTATTTCTGATGAAACGCTCCCACAGGACAGGAACTATTGAGCCCAGAGAGACTGCTCGAGCTGCGACAGACACACAGGAGACACACACCTGAGCGTGTACACAAAGTGTCACAGAGAACAAGTTATCATATAGGTGCTTTGCATGTTTGTCGTTCCATGTCTGTACAGTGTAGAGTAGACCCTACTGTGCACACCATGAAAAGTATGCATTACGCAATGTGTACAAATGATAGTGGAAGTCTGTCTTTTTTTAGCTGAACCTCAAACAGACATCTTTCATCTTCTCCGGGTTTTTTTGATTATAACAAATGTTAGATGTTTTGTTTTTTTATTTAATAAGCTCGAGGTCATGGCAAAAAATCCTACTTGCAGTGAACTCCAGATAAAAAAATCTGTTGCTGCATACTGAACTGTCACATCTCTTCTCTCATGCAAATATTGTCATGTGCTTTACCTGACCCTTCCGTGTCCTTTCTGAACCCACTAACCTATGCAGAACCAGTTTCAGGCGCCATGCTTCTTTGTATATTCTTTCATTCTCCTATAGGATATTAAAGGATTACTATCTGATGTTGCTTATTCTCGGGTTTTTGATTTTAGTTCTAATTTGTATCTAATATTAGTAGTTCTATAGCACTGGGGTTGTGTTGACTTCAAATGCTTTTTGTTCTCAGATAACTTGATCTCAACTACCCAAGGTAACAACAATGGCTTTCAAAATGTTTAGCTATTCCTTTGATAGTTGATATTGGAATGAGTATAATTCTAATAAGTCATTGTTGAGCAACTTAGGTCATTATTTAACCAAATTGAATAACAAACAAGTGCTGAATGACAAACTAGTATTGATCATAAATCACTGGTGAAAATGAAGTTGGTATGTTGCTGAATGAGTCTCATACACTTAGTGCTTTGTCATTTTCTAGGTCAGCCTTCAGTATTTGTATTAGAATGTGTGCGATTCACAGTTTTATCATGCATTTTTTTAAAATCTCAAAACAACAAGGTTTGATAGGCTGAGAATGCAATAATATTATTGAAAGTCTGTTCAGCAAGTTCTTGTTTATATTTTGATAAACAGGTGTTGAAGTGGCAGACGATAAGACAATTGTGTTAGGTTTTTGAAGATATGTCCGTAGTTATGAGAACATGCATGTTATTTTATAAGGTGCACCTGCAGGCTGTATCCTCCACAGAGCTGTCAAAGTCTCAGCAACATTCCCCTTGCCGGTATGGCTGATGTAATGCTCTTTTGGAATCATTAACAGAAACACACAACAGCCAATAGCAGCAGGACAGGTTACGGTTCAGGGGAGGATGTTTTTCATCTAGAGAGCCATTCACATGCTGCCATGTGCTGAATCCTCGACAGCTCAGCAGTTTAAAAGCCCCGGGCTATTTGCAAACCAAATTTCCCCTGCCTGCCTTTGGATTTGATGAGAACAAACATTAACTCTGATAAAATAGAACAACCATTACCTTGAAAACATATGCAAATAAAGCATTACCGGCTTAATTTAAAAAAAAGTCCATGTTCACAGTTCGATGACAAAGAGATACAAATGATGATACCCTGGTGATGCATGTGACCAGGAAGACTTCCATGTTCCTCAATAGTGCTGTAAAACAATAGAAGTCAGATGTAAAAATGAACTTTATACCAACGCTGCTGGTTTATTTTGTAATCAATCTGAATCTGTTTTGCAATTGCAACAATGATATACTCCAGACGAGATATACCTCCAAGATTTCCACCGACAAGGATGAGTTCCTTTCAGTTTATTACAAGTAAGATAGTTTTTCAAAAACATCTGCTTCCACTCAGTAACATAAACAAAGCCGTGTCTGGTTTGGTTTGACATTCTGGTCTGGCTTCTCTTGACACAATTCAGACTGCTGTGTTAGGAGATGGAGGGCTTTCAAGAGATAAACAGGTCTAACGTATGTTAACCATGGGGTTTCTTCCCTTTTGACCTTTGGCGCTTAGAGACATGGTGAAAAGTCATGGTGAAAAAACCGTACAACCCATATAAATATCCTTCTTTATCATAAACACCTATACACCAAATATTAAACTGGAATGGTGTCAGCACAAATCAAATAAAAGTATGTTTACTAAAAAAAGACACGACTAGTACCCAATGGTTATTGACTCTAGAACATCCATTCCTCAGTTGACACGTTGATGTTATGTATGCAGTAAAGCCAGTCTGCCCTACGGGAACGTTTCCGCTGCTTATCTCACATAATTAACCCCTCAGGAGCCATGACATCTTCTAAATACTCAAATAAGGAGAGCGTTGTGCGCACTTAAATGGATGACCTTATAAGGGCGTGCATTTGGTGACTTTTTATTGCCTAATGACCGTTTGCTCAAGTACACATCTGTTGTGTCTATACAGTAAATATCTGATATCTCCACTGACAAAATGTTTGAAATTCCACAATTTGCTGATGAAAGCAAATCTCACAAAAAAATAACAAGAAACCCTTTTGCCTTAACCGAGGCATTTTGCTATTAAGAAAAAATCAAGGAAATAAAATGTTCACAAGTGTGGTTGAATTTCCGTTTTTAATCCAAATGTCATTCACCTTTGACACTGACAGTATTTTTCCATCTGTGTTGCCAAAGACACAACAGTGTGTCGATGACAAGCCCATAAATCACCATTACTTTTTTAAAGATGGAATATTATTTGATCGTATTTGTACAAAATGATGTGCCTATACCTGTGTGGAGGAAGTGTTATACCATGAACTATATTTTTCCATTTATTTACATGAGCTTGATTAAATGTCACTAATGAAATATTGCTTTGTGAACCACAGAAATGTACTATCATACATTGGGATTATTGAGTCACAGCAGAAATGGCTGCATCATTTAATAATGAATAGACGTTTCATGTAAAAACAAACTGCAATAAATCGTTTTAATAGCCATTGGTAAAATCACACTCCCACACAAGTCTTTCTTGCTACTCTGGCTCATCATGCTGCAAAGGTTGCACTTGCTGAGTAATGGAAGATAATAACAAATAGTTGTACTTATATGTGTTTAAGTGTTTGTGTGTTAAGGGGTTTAAGAACATTTACATGTTCCTGCCATGCAACAAAACTCAGGTAGTGGTCAGTGAAGGTAAGTACAAAACCACACATTCCCAACTAGAAGAGGTCAAATAGATGAAAGCAGTTTATCATGTCTGTGTTCAAGACAAGCCAACAGGATTATTTGATATTTGTCTTGTATAGTGCAACCCTCATTTTACAATAAGATGTTACGTGGATGTTTTCTGAGATGACTCATCTGGTATCGGAAGATATTGTTTAACAACACTGACAATAGTGGATACCTCTGCCATGGCTCCTTTACCTGCAACAGAGTAACACAAACAGAGTTACACAAACACATTCCGCACAGAAGAGGAAACACATGGTGTTGTGCAGAGACATATTATGCTGGTATTACAAACTTACCTTGCTTCTGCAACTAATTCTAAGCAAAGGATTTTCAGATATCTATTAGTCTATGGATGTGATGGTACACTGTAGAAAGAGTTATATTTGATACTGATTGCTGATTAAAAAATTTTTTATAACAAAGTTCATAATCTTCATTTTTAATTTGGTTATCGGTTGATAGTTATTTTTTATGTTTTGTGTGCGTTTTGTTCGTTTTTCCGAACAGCTTCCGCACTTGGTGTGTATGAGTGCAAAAAGGTCACGAAGAAGAAGAAGATGAACCTTTAGTTGATGGAGTAGCTTACCAAGATTCCTTGATGATTACAACCAATTAAGTGAGACTAAGTAATTAGAGCATCAGCCATTGTCATTGTTTATCACAAAACCACAGATAGTTGACAACGCATAGGAGGTACATAATACATTAAAAACGATTTGCAGCCAGCTGATAAGCTTGAAGAACCACTTGCACTAAGGTGTACTTTCCCCTTTCCTTTATACTAACACATGTTGACAAATAAGTAGGTAGGGCATTTATAAATAGTTTTCTTACATTTCTCTTTAAAACCGACCAGATTAACACTAAACAGAAAGCCACGTCACTGTCCTCTCAGGTTGAACATTTTTGTCTGAAATAAGATGTGTGCTTAGCTGCAGCTGGACTCACGCAACAGAGATGTCTTAATGTACCGGGCAAATTAAGCTCAGCGCAAGTTCAACCAGGAAGACCGTCTTTACTCATTCATGTATTTCTATCTCCATGTTTCTACTCTCTCTCCTCTCAATAAGTGACCGGGGGCGTCACTCTTCAGCCTAGCCAATCACTTCGCTCTATTCCCAAGAGCCTATCATAGCATGCCGTCAAACCCTTTAAACTCTGCTCTTTCCCCTCTGACAGCTGTCATTTCAGGTCACTCAACGCAACCCTCCTCCACCCCTTTTCACCTCCCGTCCCTCTGAATCCACGGTCAAGCTAAGCCACTCCTCCTCTTTGCTAATTATTCATTTTAAGTGAGCTGACGCCAAGGTCAAATGAGGTACAAAGAGGCGTTACTCAGATTATAATACAGTTAATTTGTTAGTTAGGTGGTTCATATCCTGACAAGATATGAATTACTCCTAAAGAGGTTGTTGTGGAGATCCCGCATAACACAACAGGAAAGGATGAAACAGAGAGGAATCAATAAAACACAAACACAGATATAGCTGATCAGTAATTATTATTTAGTTGTTGCAACAAACAAACAATAATTGGAAGTACATCACCTACTGCCACAGCAGCCAATCGTGGAAATGCCCCCCAACAGTAGCAGTAATCATACAGCATATATAGCCACTGTAATGAACACACACACATTTTCCCTAAGCATGTTTAATGCACACACATTTTATCATGCAGCCTACCACACAAATGTCACGTGTTTTTCTCTCTGAAAGCTATACTTGTATATGTTTAAACGTCATCATCTCATGACATCCTTAGGATTAGTTGACTAACAAAGGTTAACTTTTTTTATAACCTGAGGCCTTCTCTGAACTCCCTCTAACCTCGGTGTCAGCTCACTTAAAATGAATACATCTATTGATAATTCAGAACGACCATTGTCTCTCTAACTGTGTGTGACCCAACTCAGTAACACACATCATATAGCTTAGCATGTGATGTCTAATAAATATCAGAAATACGCTGTATTAAACATTCTGCTATAACAATGTCAATCAAAGCAGGCAATTGGGGACCCACATTCAAAGGGGCTT